TGCACCTCTATTTAGTTTTTTTTCCCCAACAGCAGCAAGTTAGCTGTAAAACTAAGTAAAATTGCTGCTAAGTGCTTTGTACTGGTAACACTACAACAGAGATATTAAACATAACGTCTTTGTGACTCCAGTCTATGAATTATTGTACTGGTTTCGGAAGACAGCAGCACAGGGCAAAATGAGACTGCCTGGAATTGTCACCTACCGTATCATCTAGGGTTCTGTTTCCAGAATTTTTTCACCATGCAAAGACAGACTAACTGTCTTGAAATACAAGAAGTACAACAGGTGAGCACGGCAGTCCTTGCTTGGAAGCTTTCTAACGCATTAGCACTGCAGAGGTCAGTTATTGTTGCTCAGACCCATTTTGAAGCCTTGCCCTACCCTTGGTCGGCCGATTACCGCTTTGAAGCAGACAGGTCTCTCAAGCTTGAGACATAACCAGATCTGTTACAGAGCTGGGGTGTTTTGCCACCCAAAGCCAGCCTCCCACCAAGTACTGCCAGTATTTAAACTACCGTTTTGCTTGCCATACACTTCCTCCTTTAAACATCTGCAAAACAGAAGAGCCAGTACACTGGGTGACAGAAATCCGTATTCTAGCCACTCTGACTGAGCTACGGCCCTATTCCTCTGCAGGCTAAAGCAGCTCGATCCCTTATCAACAGGTTTGTTGACAGAGAGAAACCAATCTGGACTGCAAGAGACAACTCCTCCATAGCATAAACTGAAATAAAACTGTCCGTCTCTTCCATCGCATTCACCACCAATTACCCACCCGCACATTCCCTGCAGCTTCAACAAAACAGGAATAACTTGTTCGTACCTTAATGACCAGCATGTCTATCACCCGTGGATCTGTAACACGGGCATTCTTCATGAACATCTCCCGCACCTTGTTCCGCCCCTGCTTCACCGTGATGTCCAGCTGGTACAGGTGTACTACAAAAAAACAGAACACCACAGAAATCACCTATATTGCTTTACTTTTTTTCCACCAACAGCGTGCATCTCAATCCCACAAAACGCTACGCAGTCATTCGTTGTTGCAATGCCTGCCAGCCTCACAGGTACGGTAAGTTTAAAGCAAACACACAAGACACCGACGGGGCGAGCCCCAGCACAGCTCTAAGGAGGCGCACACCCGCGTCCTGGGAACCGCAAGTTAGATTTCTCTTTTGCTTAGCTCGGAAAACCAAGCGGCAAGTACGGCGTGAGGAGACCGGGCATCGGCGGCCAGAGCTCCCTTCGGCAACGGAGGCAGCCGGGCCGGGAAGGGCAGGGTCGGACAAGGCGAACCCGGCGGGGGCGGGCCGGC